ATATATATATATATATATACACATACATACACACATACATACATACACATATACATATACATTTTAGGGTGTCTCACCAGTTAGTCAAAAATGTCACCAGTCAGCATGACCGGACTATAGCCTTGAATTTATGTTAACATTTTTTGGGGACAGATAGAGCTTTCTTTTGGAGGTATATAATCACCACTGAGGATCTGCTTCATCAGCTTCTGTAGCTGGAGAGTGACACTGAATGCAGGAAGTGATTATACATCACTTCCTGCATTCGGGGAATGAGAGGAGTTCAAACAGAGATCGTACAGACATTCATCGGTTACCGACTTACCTGCTTTGCGACCACTCGCACTTACGACGGACTGCCGAGCGACCTCCGACCTCGCGTGTCAGCGTCAGTGCGACGTGTCGCCGGCGGAAGTGACGTCCTACGATCTTCACTGCGGGTCACGGTAAGTATTTTCATTGCCCGATGTACAGTACACTGTTCGGTACTGTACATCTGCAACGCTATACAGTACTGTACTAATGAAGTACAGTACTGTATAGAGTTCCTCACTTAACGACCAATTCGTTTAACGACCTGGTCGTAGGAACGGAACTCGGTCGTTAAGTGAGGAATACCTGTATACTGAACTCCCTTTGATCTCCTGTCACAGAGCCGTGCGGGTCTCAGCCGCAGCGGATCTCGGGACCGGCAATGGCAGCTGCTAATACAAGCGATCGAGCGTCTCCAGAGACCCCCAATCGCTTGAATGTAAAGCTCCCGGACAGCCGTGTAATTACTATATATATATATATATACACATACACACACTATACTAATTACTATATATATCACCAGTCAGTCAAAAATTTCAGCATGACCGGACTATAGCCTTGCAATTTATGTTAAAAAAGTTTGGGGACAGATAGAGCTTTCTTTTGGAGGTATATAAAATCACCACGGGGGGTATTTTTTTTTTTTACTATATAATTTAAAAAGTACCATAAATGTAAAAAAAAAACCAC